CCTTCTCTCCTACCACTTCTTTTTCAACGTCTTCTACCGTGATTCTTCCTTCTTTTTTTCATTTTCCTTACCTTTTTCTTCATCTTCAGGATCTTTAGGAAATTCAGGCTCTTTGTAAGCTAATCCGCTCCTAAGTGTGATAGCTTTCACATGACCGGAGGGGTCGGCTTTGCTTGAGCTTTCGAAAGAACTTTCACTTGGTTCTTCCTCGGAATTATCTATGTTCTTAGACTTATCTTTGATCATCAGACTAAGGAGGGTGGAAAATTTTTCATTTAAATCTTCTTGCATCTTTTTCTTTTCAGAGCTAAGATCACTGATTTCCCTAGACTTAGATTTTCCAAGCTCTAGAATTCTTTTGTTCAGATTTTCAGCTTCAGAAGAGGAAAAACTAGGATAGGGATTGGAATTAGATTCAACAGCCCAGATTTGTTCGGAAGAGTGTATTCCGCAGTCGTATGACTCGAGACCATGGTAGAACGGATCTTGGCCGCGGTCAGCATCGTCACGACCGTGGTGAATGTATGTTTTCCGCAGTCCGAAAGAGTGGACCCATGGAGATCAGGTGCGAAAGAAAAATCTTGAATTTGATAGACTTCTGCAGTGTTCATCATCTCTTGATTATAAGAATTCATTGGGTTGTTCCAACCATCAAAGTTACATGTATCGTGTACCTTGTTTGGCTGTTGCAATCCATGTTGACTCATTATCTGATGGAGACAATTCATAACTTCCGAGATCTCTTCTTTCTTCTCAGGAAGTGCAGACTTGCCAAAGATTGCTTGATTGCGGATACTGTTTGGGAGATTATTGATGAAAACACGAGCATCTTCTACAAATCTAGTTGAGAAGTCTCCATTACTTGCGGTGTCGAAATAATGTTGCAATTCTTGAGTTACGCCTCAATAGAAGATACCCATAAGGTATTCGGTGGAATATCCGTGGTGTGGACAATCACTTTGGATTCTCTAAATCTTTTCCAAGCATCTAAAATATCTTCATCTTGTTTCTGTTCAAAAGTTCTTATCTTGGAACGATTTCTAGTGTAAATGCGATTTAGGAAAGCCGTTCTACACACTGCCGACGTTATAAAGATTTTAGCCATTTGCTGGCATTGTGTCTCAAAGAGAATGGGAAAAGACTACACTTACGATAATCCCCATTTTCTGTAATGATTGCACATAATTCTTCGAAGGTCTCGATATGGTATATCGGGTGTTTGGATGAATAGCCATAAAATTGATTTTGTAGAACTAGGTGGATGTAGGGTACCTTGATTTCAGTTTTACCATCCTCTGGTAAGGCTGGTTGAATAGCTCTTCGATCTCCCAGGAACTTTTCGAGTGAGTCGATGCTTCCAATTAGTTCTTCATCATCCTCACGTCTTGCTAATCCGATTAGCTCATCATCATTATCGATCGGATCATCGAACTCATCGTCGCTCAGGTGATCTTCGATCCGGTCACCATCCACACCATATGGTGGATCACCGAGAGTCCCGGGAACATGTTCCCGGTCTCACATTGTTGAGAAACCTGAAAAAACCAAAAGAAAACGTAAAAGTAAACAAGTGTTCTAATGGATTTAAGCTGGAATTCGCAATGAAACAAATCAAAGTCCCCGGCAACAGCGCCAAAAACTTGATGCGATTGTAAACGGGGTGTTGGTCGGTTTTACTAAGCTTCAGATTTAAAATTTTTAACCCCTAAATGTCTGCAAGTGCACAGATGTGCGCTGTAGTTCTTAGGGTATCAATCCATAGAGACTTAGTTGTTTCAGTACGAATTCACGCTAATGCTTAAATCAGACTAGAACTAAACAGGTTTTGGTTTTGGGTTTTGGTTGTCACTAAATCTAAACTAGAAAGCAAGTAGAAGCAATTGAAAATTAAAGCAGTGAAGGAAAATAAAAAAAGTAATTAAAATCGAAGGCGAATGAAAGCAAGGAAAAATCGAATGAAAAGCAAATGCTGTAAACAATGGAAAACTAACGCTGGGCTTAAGGGTTTCGCAGGGATTCATGGACTAAACCTATTTCGAATTTAAGCATATGATAAAGGTAATCAACTACATATGTTCTACAACTCGAGGCATGGTGGTATGAATAGCCTACTATCGCAGCACTAAACAACTATCTCTCGCAACCCTTATCAGTAGGTTTCCACTCTGATCCTGGAACGGAGTAGATGCAATAATTGACCAAGATAATGAATGAAAGCTTTCGCAACAAATCATATCAGATCGGCTTCAAAGTGACCAGCAGAGAATCATGCAGTAAAATCAAAGGCAAACGAAGAATATCTTGAAGATTATAAATCCTAAATATATCGATTCATAGATAAGACACACAAAATTCCCTTTGAACAATCCCTTTAAACTTAACTGGGAAACTACTCAAACATATTGTAAACAATCATCAAGAAGTATTGAAAGTTGCAGTAAATTAAAGAAAACAGAGAAGAAGAACGAAGAACAGAGTCACAGATGGAGGCGTGATGATGCTCTCCTCGACGGCTCCTCTTCGAAGATGGTGGCTCCTAGGGTTTGTGAGGCACGAAAATATCTCTCTCTCTCTCTCTCTCTCTCTCTCTCTCTAAGTCTGTCTCTCCTTCGATCTCTCTCTTTAGAATGACTTAAAGAGGGTATTTATAGCTTCTGGAGTTGTCCTGGACTTAGGGCTTCAAAAAAAATAAAAGGAATCGACTTGGTCTTTAATTGGGTCGTCTGAGAAGTGAACATGTTCTGGCTGCAGTCGCAGTGCTTCTACTTGCGGGGAAATAGCTTTTGGCCTCGGTCCCGGCTCATGCTCTCTTTCATATCTGCACTTTCTGTCTTTATTGCATCAGGGGTATCTGAAGATCTAACCGTTGGATTGTCTTCAAATCAAGTGCATTAGAAAGCTGGTTGTATCCTCTATGTTGTCACAAATTTTGGGGTGACAACATAGAGGTCTTCATCGCTTGCCATACTTCTGACGATCTGCATTTATCCACAATTGTTCATTTGTTATAAATTGCATATCTTTTGCCCACGTTTTCTGAAAAATCTTTTGAAACTCTAAAACATTGAAAACAGCTTAAAAACCTTTGAAAACAGAGTTAAAACACCTGCATAAGACATCATTATGATCCATAAAAGTGGTCAATATACAGTGTTATAAAAAACGTGAAGCTATAAGAAACTCTTGATTCTCTCAGCATCACGTGGCTCAAGCTACCACACCCATGGCAAAGGAAGACGCACCCACGACCAACCTAGCTCGGCCTAACTTGCCCATTTTGATCCCGAGAGTTACACCGACTTTTTTTCTCGAAACCCTAGAAGTCTCCCAGAGATTGAAGACTGTAAATACATGTTTGTTAGGTCTTTCTTAAATATCTCTTTAATGCTTTAGAGAGAGAACAACTTCTTCCGGCTCTATTTTTCTTAGATTTAATTGCTTTGTATGGAACTTTTCTTGCCACTCTGCTCTTCAATAAAAAAATATTTTCTTCATCTCTTTTCTTTTACTTTATTACTTTCTTTTAAAACCATTGATGATGTTAAGCTCAGCTATGTCTGAGTAGTTTTTTTGTTGAGTATAGGGCCATCTAAAGGGTTCTCCTGGATCAATCAACATCTAGGATTTTAGATTAGGATATCAAGCTTATTAGATGGTTCTTTCTTTCATTCTTATTATTGATGTATGTTCGCTTAAACTGGTTAAGAATTGTGTTGTTTCATGGACAAGTACATGAATATTATTAATATCGAATTTAGAGTCGTGTTGTCTCCTGTGCGTCCAGAGACTAAGAACTGGTCCAGAAGATAGTCAATAGTTAATTAGAATTACAACAATAGGTTAGTCGTATATCCATGAATTAATTATTTTACATCAATCTGCTAATTATTTTGCTTGCTTACTTGCTTTTCTTTCTGCTTAATTAGTTTACTTTCAATCTGGCAATAAAATCATGAAACAAAAGCCCTCTTACTCGATTAAGTTTAGAATAGTATTAGAATACCGTTGACAACAAAAAAAAAAGAATAGTATTAGAATCCAATAGAAATTGCCAGCACTCAAATCCTTGTAAGATTTGATCCTTATGTACTATTGGGTTTGCTGTGCACTAGCAGCTTTATTTTAGGGTAAAACATGTTGTAGTTCATTACCCACCGCATCAAATGTCTTGGTATAAAAGAGTGTTGTTTCGTTATGCTACTCTTATATACAATTTTTGCTTGGTTTGATGCTCAAAATAGTCTTTCGACTGGTGATCAGATGGGAATTTGTGGCACATTTATCATGCTCTGTGTAATGAGCCTTTGGAAACAAGATTACATCTATTGGAGCTTCTTGTCGACACTAATCAAAGGAAGGCATCTCGTTTCATCTAAGGTATGTCTTCCAGGCTACCTTATACTCAATTTGGCGAGAACAGAATGAGAGGAAACATGGTGATACTCCTACACAAGCATGACACATTATCCAAATTATGAGGAATATATGGGATATCTTCTATTCGAGAGATGGGGGATTTGCGATACAATGAGTGCATGGAACTCTGGTTTGCTAGTCATTAATAGTTTAAAAGATGTAAATAAGTTTCTTTTATATGCTCAATCGCTCAAAACGATTGTAAGATGACCATTTTCTGAATTAGTTTTACATTCTATTCAAAGAAAATAAAAACAGTACGAGACAACCAAAAAAGTAATATGGTATCAGACTCTTTGTTCTTTGTTGACTCAAGTAGGGTATGTTGCCGGTTCCAAAGTGACATTCGCTTCAAGATGAAAGGAAAAGACTGGCATCTTGCCGGTTCCAAAGTGACATTTCGAGGAATAGGACAACATATAGGTACATGTCCCACTTTTCCCAGCAAGTCTTGTTTGTTACAATAAGGCATAGCAGTCTTTTACAACAACTTTGAAACGAAACATATTACATAAAAGATAAAATCTTGTTTTGATACGGCTCATACTAGCCATATAAAACAATAACTAGGTTTTACAATATATCCGTTTGGTACTATACGGAAAACCAATGACATCTGCGTACATAGAAATCAAACCAAAATTACAACATATATATCGATACCGGTTAATGGTTTCGTTTTATTTCTTCACAGAAAATGATAAGGAAAAACAATAGTGTACGTAATTAGGGGAAGTCAGATAAGGACTAGAAAACATATTTTTCACGTTGTAGGAGTTGGAGGAGGTAACTTGAATTTGATACACATTTGTTCTTTAAGCTTGCCAGAGCCTTCGTAGTCACTAAACAATGTTAGGATACTCATGTACTTATCCTTCACAAGTTTATTAAACAAAAACAAAACAATTAGTGTTATGCAAAACCAAAAAAAAAGTGATGGCTTTATATTTTAATCAACAACAAAGTATAAATTTTTTTTTCTGCATGTTGACAAAAAAGTCTATTAAGCTACATTAAAGTTCGAGTATTTATAAATTCATTAGTTTTAATTCACCTAGTATTGTTAGAGTTCTTTTTGAAATTGGATCTCTGAAAAACGTGTAAAAAAACTTACAAAAAACCGCAAATACTTGTCTCTCCAAACTCTTATCAGAAAGTCTTTGCCAGGTTCAAGAGGCCATTGATCCCACAACACTCCACGGAGGTCCGTCTCCCTCATTATACGAAATCGAAATTGGTCAATTACAAGGGACAAATCTAAAGCACCATCGAGGAGCCTTTGGCCTGTACACACACACACACACAAAAGAAAACGTTATTGATAATGTATTGCCGTATTAATACAAATTTAATAGAGTTAAAATATTGGAATATTAGGTACGTACTTGTATTACTTGTAGAACCGTATATGAGAATATATTGAGGGTCCGTAGGAGAGACTTCCACACGAGTCATGTTACCGAACTTGTATCCCTTTTCTACGACAATATATATACTAGTGAATTTTCCTGCGCTTTGCGCGAACTAATATAATTATTTAAAAATTTAATATAATTTGGATTTATTTTTTTTGTTTGTTAGATTTTCTTATATTTTAATGTTTTATCAAATTTTTTGTTTTATTAAATTTGAAAAACGGTTGTTGACAGCTACAAAAGTAGAACAACGATATGTACAGATTTATATAAGGTTATATAGTACATGTTAATATTTTTTAAAAAAAATTCATTGGTATATGTTTAACTGATGACTATGAATTCTTAGTTAGAATGAAGAAGAAAGAAGATGTTAGACAATTTTAAAAGTTGTGAGAGAATTAGAGAAAAGTAGTTGATTTTTAAAATGACATTCCGTTACTTTTTAAATATATTCCATTTTTTGTTTCTTTTAATATTTTTGTTAATTTTTTTCTAAATTTTGAAAATATAAAAATATTAATTACTAAGAGATATATATTCCATTTTGTGTATTTTTTTTTTTAAAAACGTTTTTTGTGTTTTTTTTTAAAAATACTTTTTTGTTAGTTTTTTAATAAATTTCGGTTTTATAAAATTTTTAAAATAGTTTAATTGACTACATGATTAAGCATTAAATCATAATAATTTAGACCGGTTTGTTTTAAGTTTTTTTACACATCATCAAATAAGAACCAATAAAAAATGACACGTAATTGCAAAATGAGGTTAAACAGTCTTTTTGCAGCTGACACATTATGGAGCTGATACGTAAGCGAAAGACCGTGAAACTCTCTGTGAGCGCGACACGTAAGCAAATCACTACACAAATAAATATATAGATATTTTTTGTTTTAAAATGAAATATGTCTAGTTATATCGGAATTTAGAAACTTATATGTATAAAAGGTTTTTAGAATTTGGTATGATTTATTAACTAAATTAATGATAAAAAAACCTTAGGCAAAAATGTGTTTACTCTACAATCGTTTTCTTCCTTGATTTTATGCTTCAAAGTTCATCCCAATTCACAACAAATAACTACGAAAGTTGGTTGTGGAAATCAACCGCTCTCCCGAAATTATATTGGCTTTTTTATAATCCGGATAGATCCAACGCACGGATTACAAAATCAGGTTTATACTGATTCAACTAGAAATTACCGACTATTTCAGAAATATTTAAGTTTGTTGGATACAAGCACAGGATGTTAAACATCTATGGAGATTTGGAAAACAATGCCTATATTCGTACAATTATTATTGAATTGGTTTATCAACTATAATAAGAATAGCTGTTCTACATATTTTATAATAACGCACAAAAATTAAAGAACAACTAAAAAGTCTATACTTACTGTTGCAGTATCTAAAATCAATTAAGTCGCCAAAAGCAGGTAAAAAGAAGAGTGATGCGAGGAGAAGAAGAAGAAGAGGGTGAACATAAGATATCGCCATGGATTTCCTAATAGAGGAAAACACTTTTTTCAGATTGGTTTGTTACATGTGTTATGCCAAGTTCATCCATGCCTAGTACTCTTTTATAGTCCATAAATTATTATTTTCCTAAATTAGTGGATCGGCCATAAATGATATTGTAAAGTTGAAGTCATAGATTTATTGAAGCTTAAAGCAAAGTATTCTTAAATAAAGGTTAGGTTAATTAAGGTAATATTGAGTGTTGATATGCCTTTAATCTGTAGAGAAGATGATTTCTTATTATTCACAATAGAATTTTGATAGTAGGAACTTTTAGGTTCAAATCCAAACTACTCATATCATTGTAGTATTTGAGATATCAATTCAAATGGAGATGTCTAGCACTAGAACTACAAAGATCATTTCTTAATCCAAGTCTAATGAAAAAGCTTGGTGACTAAGTAATCTAAAACATAAAACAAACAAGAAGCAAGCAATAACTAAGAACAAAGCAAACAAAAGATGCTAAGCAAATAATGCGACACTTGCAATTTTTTAATCTAGACTTCTAAATCAGATTAATTTATTCTCATGACAATAATCTCTTTGTTAAACACCTAATCAAGTGATAACACCGTATTTTGACCACTTTTATGGATTATAATAATGTCTTATCCAGGTGTTTTAACTCTGTTTTCAATGTTTTTAAAGTGTTTTCAATGTTTTAGAGTTTCAAAAGACTTTACAAAAAACTTGGGCAAAAGATATGCAATTTGGAACAAATGAGCAATTTTGGATAAATGCAGACCGTCAGAAGTATGACAAGCGATGAAGACCTTCTCACCGTCTGATCACCCCCAACATTTGAGACAACACAGAGGATCCAACCAGCTTTCTAATGCACTTGGTTTGGAGACAATCCAACTGTTAGATCTTCAGATACTCCCGATGCAAGAATGACAGAAAATGCAGTTCCGGAAGAGAGCAAGTGTCGGGAGCGCGGCAAACACCCATTTTCCCGCGGGTAGACCACCGCGACCGTGGACTTTGGTCGTTCACTTTTCCGACGACTTAATTAAAGCCCAGATCAATTCCTTTCGTTATTTTTGAAGCCCTAAGTGTCTAGAACCACCCCAGAAGCTATAAATACCCCCTTTAGGTCATTCTAAAGAGAGGAGAGACCGAAACTTAGACAACTTAGAGAGAGAAAGAGAGCTCGTGTGGAACCCTAGAGGCCGCCACCGTCGATCCCAAAGAAGGAGCCACCGCTGGAGAGCATCATCGCGCCTCCCCCTGCAACTCTGTTCTTCGTTTCTCTTCCTTCTTTTCTTTAGTTTCCTGCAGTTTCAATTTCGTTTATGATGCTTTGTTACAATATGTTTGAGTAGTTACCCAGTTGGGTTTAAAGGGATTATTCAAAGGGAATTTCATGTGTCTTTGCTTATGAATCGATAGATTTAGGATTTATAATCTTCTAGATGTTCTTTGTTTGCCTTTAATCTTACTGCGTGATTCTTTGCTGGCCACTTAGAAGCCGATCTGATATGATATGTTGCGAAAGCTTTCATTGATTGTCTGAACTAGGGTGAAACGAGCAATTCTTCTATAGGAGTGGAAACCTACCTGTAGTTGAGTTGTGAATGTTGATGAGTCTTATTCTGCTATTGCATCTTCTCCCTTCCAGAATAAGAGTGGAAACCTACTGATTAGGGTTGCGAGAGATAGTTGTTTAGTGCTGCGAAAGTAGGCTATTCATACTTCCGTGCCTCGAGTTCTAGAACATACGTAGAGTATTACCTTTATCACTTGTTTAAAATCGACATAGCTTAGTCCATGAACCCCTGCGAATACCCCTTGAGCCCCAACGTTTGTCTTTAATTGTTTACAGCCTTCTAGTTTCAATCGGTTTTTACCTTCAATTCTATTTGCTTTTATTCGCTTATTACCTGCTTTCAATCGCCTAGTTTAATTGCCATTTAGTTGTCTTCATTCGCTTTTGTTTAATCGATTTTTACTTGCTTTTATTTGCTTTCACTTTCAATTGCTTTTACTTGTTTAGCTTTCTAGTTTAGATTTAGTGACAACAAAAACCCAAAACCAAAACCAAAACCCTTTTAGTTCTAATCTGATTTAAGCGTTGCAGTGAATTCGTACTGAAACAACTAAGTCTCTGTGGATCGATACCCTAAGTACTACAGCGCACATCTGTGCACTTGCAGACATTTAGGGGTTATAAATTTAAAACCTGAAGCTTAGTAAAACGAAAACAACAAACACCGTTTACAAACTCGCATCAAGTTTTTGGCGCCGTTGCCGGGGACTTAAATTTGTTTCGTTGCGAATCCCAGCTTAAATCCATTAGAACACTTGTTTATTTTTACTTTTTCTTTTGAATTTTTCAGGTTTCTCTGAGATGAGAGACCGGGAACATGTTCCCGGAACTCTTGGTGATCCACCAAATCGTGTGGATGGTGATCCAAGCGAGGATGACCTGACTGATGACGAGTTTGAAGAACCGATTTATGATGACAATGAGCTAATCGGATCGGTCAAACACAAAGATGATGATGAACTGATTGGAAGTTTCGATTCACTCGAAAAGTTCATGGGATATCGAAGAGCTATTCAACCAGCCTTACTAGAGGATGGCAAAACCGAAATTAAGGTACCCCATATCCATTTAGTTCAACAAAATCAATTCTCTGGTTATTCACTCAAAAACCCGATAGACCATATCGAGACTTTCGAAGAATTATGTGCAACCATTACAGCAAATGGGGATTACCACAAGTGTAGTCTTTTCCCATTCTCTCTTAGAGATAAGGCCAGCAAATGGCTAAAATCTTTGCCACCTGCTTCACTAAAAACGTGGGCAGCGTGTAGAACTGCTTTCCTAAATCGTTTTTATACTAGAAATCGTACAAATCTCTTAAGAAAGAAGATAAGAACTTATAAACAAAAAGAAGATGAAGATCTTTTAGATACTTGGGAAAGATTTAGGGAATACCAAAGAGATTGTCCACACCATGGATATGCCGAGGAATACTTGCTAAGTATCTTCTACCGCGGTATAACTCCAGAGTTACGACACTCTTTTGATGTAGCAAGTAATGGAGATTTCACAACTATATCTGTAGAAGATGCTCACGTTTTCATTAAAAATTTAGGAAACAGCATCCGAAATCAAGTAACCTTTGGTAATCAAGTAACCTTTGGCTGGAACAACCCAATGGATTCTTATGATCAAGGGATGCCTAACACTGCAGAAGTCTATCAAATTCAAGACTTTCCATTCGATTCTAATCACCGCGGGTCCGTTCAATCGGACCACGGCCAAACAAGCTTTCACCGCGGTCGTGCTGGTTCTGACCGCGGCCAAGACGTGTTTCACCGTGGTCGTGAGCCACCTGACCGCGGGAAATTGTCTTCTGAGCTTGCCTGGAAACCACCTTCCGAACCAATCTCAGCTATTCAATCTAATCCTCTTTCCTATCCTAGTTTTCCCTCTTCTGAAGCTGAAAACCTAAACAAAAAGATTCTAGAGCTTGAAAAATCTATGTCTCAAGAGATTAGTGATCTTAGATCTGAACTAAAAGAGATGCAGAAGGATTCCGATACCCTCCTTAACATAATGGTCAAAACTAATTCTATAAATTTAGAAAATTCTGAAGAGGAGCTAAGTGAAAATTCTTTCGAAAGCTCAAGTGAAGCAGATCCCTCCGATCATGTGAAAGCTATCACACTTAGGAGTGGATTAGCTTACAAAGAGCCTGAATTTCCTAAAGATCCCGAAGATGAGGAAAAGGGTAAGGAAAAGGAGAAAGAAAAAGAAAGAATCACGAATGAAGATGTTGAAAAAGAAGTGGTAGGAGAAAAGGATGGAGAAGAAGTAAGAGAAGATTCATCCCGGGAAATCCTTGGAGAAGACCTGATTCCACCTCCACCAACTCGTGTCTACAAACCTAAACCTCCATATCCTAGAGCCTTAAAAGCCCCTAAGAAAGAGAAAGAAAAAGCTAAGCTGAAAGAGCTAATCGATCAATTAAATGTGAGATTACCTTTCGTAGAAGCTTGTGCTATGATTCCTGCTTTAAGAAAATACATGAAGGGTATTCTAACAAATTTTTTAACTCTTGAAGAAGGCGTTATGATGATAACCCATGAATGTAGTTCTATCCTGCAAAGCCGAATCCCTGAAAAGAAACGATCCTGGAAGCTTTGTAATTTCATGCACCATCAATGATGTAGCTTTTGAGCGTGCTCTCTGTGATTTTGGATCTAGCATTAACATGATGCCTCTTTCAGTAGCAAAACGTTTAGGACATCACACTTTCAAGCCCACTAAAATTTCCTTAGTATTAGCTGATCGTTCTGTTAGACAACCAGTAGGTATCCTAGTAGATGTTCCCGTCGAAATCGAAAAATGTTCCATTAGAACTAGAAAAAGAACCTAAGGATCCACTTATTCTTGGAAGACCATTCTTATCTACAGCCGGAGCCATAATCAATGTTCCTGAAGGAAAAATCGACCTTCATCTAGCTGGTTCAGTTATGAAGTTTGACATGAACAAATGTTTCGATAAACCAACTTTGGATGGCAAAATTTGTTGGGTTGATGAGTTAGACGGAATTATTGAGGAAGTCTATGATTATCTGCTTCTAGATGACCCTTTAAGTGTCACGCTTTCACCCGCAAAAGATGAACGCAATTTCCTTGAAGGAATTTCGAGTGAATGCGCGCGTATGCTTGATAAGTCCAAAACTTATAGCAAACCTCTTCACTATCTAGATCTTAAGGACCAAACAAACATTCCTTCACCTCCTAAAGACACTGCTGCAGCAATTAACGATCCTTGGAGTGAGCTTAAAGCCCCTAAAGTCGAGCTTAAACCTCTTCCCGTCGGACTTAAGTACGCTTTCCTTGGACCAAATTCAACTTATCCTGTCATTATAAACTCTGGTTTGACGGAAGAAGAAACCACAATGCTGTTGACTGAGCTGAGAAAGCATAGAAAAGCCTTAGGATATTCACTTGATGACATACCTGGAATCTCTCCAGATCTTTGTATGCACGAGATTAATCTAGAGGATAAT